AAATCCTTAATCACTTAATTTGAGCTTAATATATATATGACAGAAGCATATTGTTATTTTCTTTCTTAGGAGAGAAATAATATATATATATGTGGAGCTTATAACAATAATCACTGGACTTTACAAGTATGTCATACAAGTTGATTACTAGCTGATCATCCATTGCAAACTAAAAGAACAATATTGCTCATGAAACTCTCATTATAATTTTACAAAATAATACAACATAAACCAAAGTTGATTCCCTTATTAAAATATTTGACCTCTATGCCACCTGTTAAACAACGAGTTATCTTTGCAGTTTGTATTGTATCTACTTAACTTAGATATGAACGTAGAATAACATTAAATGCGATTTTATAAAACAATTAATGTAGTGTAATCCAGTACTAGATCATCATAAAATTCAAATTTCAAATTTATTCATTTGTTAGTAATAATCCCACTCTTATCTGCTATATTAACTTTCTTAATCAAGCCATATTACATGAATCTAAAGACAGCTCCACTCCCCCCTATATATACAGTACAATATCCTAGAGTCTATCATATCATATAGTACATTTCTTTTCCTGAATATTTCTGCAAGAAAACCCTAGTAAAAACATGAGTTCAGTTTCTTAGAAAAATATTTTTTATTACATCCTTTCTTGCTCTTCTTCAAAAAATCATTTTTTCTTTTGTGAATTTTCAATCTTTGTGTGTATGCTAAAAATGTCTCTACCATCTTTACCCTTTGAGATCATCATCTCCATTCTCTTACTTCTCCCTGCTAAAGAACTGATCAAACTCCTTGTTACATGCAAATCTTGGTATGCCATGATAAAAGATCAAGATTTCATCAAAAAACATTTTGAAAGCTCAGTTGCAACAGGTAAAAACTATCTTCTCTATGTGCCTGTCCAAAGCAAGCCAGAAAAAACATTCACTTTGCTAAATGCCAAAAACTTTCACCATGAATCTGAATTAAGAGTCCCCTTTGATTTGCCAGGCATGTTGAATTGCGTTGTTGTTAGTTCAGTCAATGGTTTAATTTGTCTCACTGATATTAGCTGTTTTGGTCATATCATATATTTGACTAATCCTACTATAAACAAGTACTTGACCCTTCCCCCTTCAACAATTTATTTTCATGAACTAGATCTTCAGATTATACAAGTGAGTCTTGGATTTGGTTATCATGAAAAAACCAATGATTTCATGGTTGTTAGAATTGGCTTTGTTGAAAATGATTGTTATGGTTGGTTAGATGAAGAAGATGATGATGATGATGTAGAGCCAAGTAGACTTCCTCATGGATATGATTTTGTATCTAGAGCTGAGGTATTTTCACTAAATACAAAGGTTTGGAAAGAAATTAAACTAAGTTGTAACTTTTCCTACAAAAGACATGACATGTTTTCAGGAGTTGTTGTCAATGAATGTTTGCATTGGAAGGTTGTTAAAAGCAACACATATGAGGATGAAATGGTCATTTTGTCATATCATTTAGGGGAAGAAACATTTCAAGAATTTGAATGCCCAAAGTTTCAAGGTGAAGGAGGAGTTGATCTAACTGAATGTATTGGTGAGTTTAAAGGTAAACTTGGGCTTTTTGCATTTTGTGCAGTTTTTGATTATTGGTTTGGGATAAGGGGACAACCTTGTCACCTTTGGGTGATGGAGGAATATGGTGTGAAGAATTCTTGGACTTGTCATGCTACTATTTCACTAGGAATGATGATATATAGGCCTTTGGCTTTCACAAGAAATGGAGAAATTATAATACAAGATAGGTTTGCAAGTATATATAGCTATGATTTCAGTAATAATCAGCTACTTGATTTGAAAATCCAAGCTGAGGAGCATGATTTGAATTTTGTCAATTTCACTGATAGCCTAGTTTTGGTTGATCTTAATGACAAACCAATGGGACAAGAAGGGGCTACTCCTGCAAATGGTGGTGGTGTTGATTTTGATGGCTACATGCATATGGAAGAAGTAAGTATTTTTAGCCTTTTCTTTTTATTTTCCCTTACTGTTTTTATTTTTCCACTGATTCGAATAATCTGGATTCTTTTTCGCAATTTTCCTAATTATTGTGAGTTAAGATTGCAGGTCAACATGGTCGATAAAGATGATCCTCCAGGCGATACACCTATGAATGTTGAAAAATAGCTAAAGGGATTAAATTCAAACCAGAAGTTATTAGCCAAGCCATAGTTTAGTAGCCAGAAATGGCATTTCGTTTATGCTAGATAGTCTGTTTTAGTAACGTGAGCCTTGGCGTAACTGATAAAGTTGTTGCCATGTGACCAGGGGGTCACGGGATCAAGCCGTGGAAACAGCCTCTTGCAAAAATGCAGGGTAAGGCTTCGTAAAATAAATCCTTGTGGTCTAGCCCTTCCGCGAAACCCGCACATAGCGGGAGCTTAGTGCACCGGGCTGCCATTTAAGTCTGTTTTAGTAAGAAAATGAGTTACATCGATCAACAACAATATTGATTGTTAGGGTTAGGAGTCTTTATGGCCCATAACCCTTTGAATCAAGAATGTTGTGTTCCTTTTTAACATGTATCTCATCTCTTTTTCATGTATTTTTGTCTTTCCTTTTCAATGAAATGGCATTGGCTTTCTGGTTTCGCATCTTATATGTATCTCCATTGTCCTTGTCGTTTAATTAAAGTCCGTCTAATTTCAATATTATAAAATTTAGTTTCTCTAGCACTACAAATTCTCAACATTTTCTACTAACATATAAATAAATTACTCCTAGCAAATATTAACACATTGAATTTTGTATATGTTCAAATTTGATCGTCTAACGCCTCTACGCCAATGGGTACGCCCAGTGAGTATACGTCAACTAACGTAAGGGTACGACTTGGACGTGGGGACAAAAGCGACATCGTTTAAGACTCAGTGTCTTCAATAGGAAAACGTTACCTATTTTTGTATCTTTTTGATTATTTCGAGGGAGGTCTCCTGCTATATAAGGGAGACCTTCACATTGTAAAGGGGGAGGATTCTGGAAGAATACAACTCTCTCATTTTCTCCTACTCTCTCTCTATTTCTATCTCTAACGAATACTTTCTCTTGAGTTCATATTATCATTTTACACTATTAGATCTACAATAACAACTTCATTTTTCATCTCTAGGTCTATTATATTTGATTACGATTTACCCTTTCCTACTTTTGATTGTTCTTAAGCTTGCAAAGTATATCGATAACTTTTGAGCCAAACAAATTTCTTTGCTGAGAACCAAACAGGAGGATGACAACCTCTATTTGATCAACTGCCTAAAAGAAAAGAAACCAATACTTAGGGTGTGTTTGGTACGAAGGATTTTCCAATTTTTTCATGTTTGGTTGGCTTAAATATTTTGAAAATTATTTTCCTTATTAACTCATTTTCCTCCAATTGGAGGAAAATATTTTCCCTATCAAAAGAAGGGAAAACATTTTCCATAACTTCTTTTCAACCTTCCTCACCTTATTTCAACCCCCATCAACTCACCCCCACACCCCTACCTCCTAGGGCCGGCTTGAGGCCCCCAAATTCTAGGGGCTCAAAATTTCTTAAAATTAGCTTTATGGTTTAAAGATATTAAAAAAATATTGAATTTTTTAGAGGAGAAAAGGTAAAAAGAATTGTAAACTTTGTAATTCATGCTGACCAAAAAAAAAACAAAGAAAAGGAGAGCATAGTGAACGCTTACTGTAATGAAATGCGTATAAACATTTGATTTATGGCAATACAAGTTTCCTTTTAATCTTGTCTTCCTTATTCATATTTATTCTTGTGCACTTTATTTTCTTTTTCGTAAGTATTTATAAATTATGTCAAACAAAAAAGTGCATTTAGTAATTCGAATTGCATATTTCCTTCCGTCCCAATTCATGTTAGGTTGTCCTTTAAAAATTGTTGTCTAGAAAATACGAGTCATATTATTAGAAACTCAAAAAAAAATTGAAACTTTAATATAATTACAATCTCAAAAAGGCGCTTTCAATAAAGTATTAGCAAGAGTGCTACTTACAATCTTCTATGAAACTCCGTGAACACAGAAATTATTCATGCACTAGTTTTTTTTAGTGTAATTCAACATATTATATTAGGTTATTTATAATTAATTCTAGATATTTATCAATGAGTGCTACTTATGGGATGGGCTACAATTATCATTTAAATTAATCAGAAGGTGTAAATATTTTTGATACTGTCAATGCTCAAAACTTAAACTACTACGTTATGTACGTTTATTTCTTTTTCTTATTTGTGATGATAGCCAAATCACAATGTTCACGTTGAGTTCCGGACCTCAATACTTATAATCTATCAATTTATTCTTTGTGCTCTTCTTCCAAGTTTTTTTTTTTTGTGTGTGCGCGCGTGTGTTTTAAATGACTAATTTGTTGTTAAGAAAGCAACTTTTTTGTTAGTATACAAATTTTATAAAATAAATTTAAGGGCCTCCAATATAATTTCGCCTTAAGCCAAGAGATCAGTTGAGCCGCCCCTGCTACCTCCCCATCCCCATCCCCATAAAAGATGGGGACCTAGGGGAATGGAGGTGAGAGTAGCTAAAAATATTTTCTACTCTCTAACCAATAGAAAATATTTTCCGGAAAAGTTTTTCACTCACCAACCAAACATTGAAATAAGTGATAAAATTACTCATTTTTCATGAAAATATTTTCTAATACCAAACACACCCTTATTTTCCAACAACAAAAAATAGTACTTTTTAGATTAGTCTAGTGAAGATATAATACCTGGTTAAGAGGCATAAATTTAGCTTCACTTTGTCAAATTGTTTTCTGGTCAGGATAAAATCAGTTTTCTTTCCCATGCTATGAATTCTTTTGAGAAACTTTAACTTGTCTTACTAGTAGAGGTCCAGGAGTTCAAAATAATATATTTTTTGAGCTTTAGTTTCAAGTGTCATAATAACACACCTGCTTACTATTTTTTTTTCCCTGTATGCTAACACGCAAAAGTAATACAAGATGGAGTTATTTCCTAATGAAACTGCAATTTCACTAATTTGTCCTTCAACAAGTACAAAATATAAGCACCAGGCAAGTATAAAAAAACTGCACTTATTACAAAAGAATATCCCATGTCCACCCCTCTATATTAAAAGGTAAAGACGACACTAAAAATCTGTATTAAAAAGGAAGAAAAAAAATAAAAACGAATAGCTAACCACTCGAAAGAATCTAAAGATCGATGGGTTGAAAAGAGATGGCATTTTTCTTATGAACCAAATACCCAACAAAAATGGATACACCAAATGAAACAATAGATAAGAGAAAAGCAAAACCACTGGCAGCATTCCAAGAGCTTCTTGATACCACTTTGACGCCTGCTGATAAACCTGGAGGAACATCTAGAGGTACCCAGTCACAACTAATCGTGTAATGTCCTGATCCGTGCCATGGATTTCCATCCTCCGGATACCAAAATGCAGCTGAAAACTTGCTTGTCTGACCAATAGTGAATTGCACATCCTATATACACCCCAAAAGCAAACTTGATTTATGCAGTCATGTTTTTAACATACTTTTGTCTCTAGGTACTAATCAAGTGAAAACATGCATGAAACAGACAGACGTGCTAAGAATATTGTAGATAATATCGTGTATCAATTAGGATGGGTTAAAATTAATTAGGTTTGTTCGTTCCTGTAATCATTTACGTAGTCTATGATCTTCTTTCTTATTTTAGAACTTGTATACGTCACTATTTAAACCCAGTAACTTGAGAGGATAATCAAGTAGTGCTTTCTCTCAATTTTCTCTTCCTCGTTTCATTCCTCACAAGATATTTTGTTTAGCGCCCTATGATAAGAGTGAAGCTGACTTTCCTATTTCCTCTTGCATGTCACTGACAATGCTTATATACACGTGGTGAGTCCACCTGTGGTGGTGGGACATTAGAGTGCTTATATTATATGCTAAGGTTACTAATGCATGACTAAATTTCATTAAGACATGAGACAAAGGCATCACTGTGATAAACTAACCTGCTGAAGACGATCCATGGTTCTCAGGGCCCTAGAAAACTCAAAATAGAATGTTCCCTTCTGACCATTTGTTGAATAAGGACTGTCTTCGTCAGAATAACCTATCAATAGGAGACCATTTGAGAAATGAAGAGGCCAGACGAAGAACCAACTCTACAACATGATTAAGAAGGATCAACAAAGAAATCCAAGATTTGACAAGGGTGAGAGATGTTACCTGAATGGGTTGCGAAACTGCTATGCCACCATGCACCCCTCCAGTCATTCTGGGCAGCCGTATCATTTCCTGAGAATAAGAAATAAGGCTAAGTACTAACAAAGTCATGTCAAAAGTCGTAAGTCAAGAATGTAGTGTCCTGCGAATAGAATTTAGCAGAAACAAGATCGCCAAAATCACAAGAATGAAGTGAATGCATATAATAGTCGAAGAAGAAACTGATGCCAAATTTGTGTATGTTAAAGTCCTCTTTCTTAACAGACCATTTCTGAGACAACATGCATATATTCAGTTCATCGAAATGTAGTTTCCCCTTTAGTCACCTCAGAGAACACGACACCAATTCTTTAGGTTTATGGTAAGTGTCAACCACATCAATTAAGGTCAGCAGTAAACTTTGTGACCTCAGTAATCAGTACTTGCATCAATAAAAATGATTTCAAGTTTCTTCCTATTTCTTTTTTCCTTTACTTCACTCCCCAATTACCAAGGAGAATCAAGATCCAAGTATTAACTGATAGGGGATGAATATTCAAAGTACACATTTCATAGATTGAGTGCCAATAACTCCAATGACACTCTTACCTGTAGGACTAACTCCGTCCAGATTCTGACAGTGTGGGTTCCAAGCATACAAATCAACCAGATGACCAAATCTGTTAACCATGTGAAAAGAGTAAAGATAATTTGGAGAATTTTGCAGTGTTGATGAAACAAGATAATTGACATGTGTATACAAATTTACCTGTCTCCCCCGTTACCATCTCTGTTGTCGATTGGGTTTCCACCATACAATCTACCAGGGATAGCATTTCCAATCGAGAAGTGCATTATGTCAACTTCATAGCCACGACAAGTCTTGTTGTTGCATGCATCGGGTGATTGTTTACACCCACCCATCTATTCAAACAATTTTAATCAATATTTTAGGCAATAAAAGATACCAAACAGAAATATACGAAAACTGTATTTTTCCATTTTCTGGAGGGACATTTACTGCATTAGCGGTTAGCATAACCCGTAAATGAATGATCACAACTTACATTATGATATGTAGCACTCTCACCAACTTGAAACATCAGTGCTACAGATGGGCAATTCTTGTCATTTCTGCATGATTAATAAGGAAAACATACGTTTTTTTTTATGGAGAACAAAGAAACCTTAAGTATAGTGGAATGAAATAAACAATATAATGCCATTAAGTTGAAAGCATGTTGCATCTTGATTTTCAGAATGATCATGTTGCATCTCTTGTACAAGCACCTTATAGAAAATATGAAGAATCTCAGACATAAAATATAGAGAGTTGCCCAATAGTAAATAAAGATAGTTACCCATATATGTAACATAGTGAAACTGGCAATGAGACCACTCAGAGCAGTTTCATTAGCAAAACTCTTGAAGCTTGCAAAAATCAGCTTATATAGACACCAGTTTACTAAAGATGAGGAAATTAAAGGTGCATGCTTTTCAGTTAAATAACCTGTAACGGACAATAACATGTGTTCTACATGCATTACCTTTTAGAACTTTTATTGTATCTTGTACGCATTCTGTGATGTATTTAAGCATCAAAAGCAAGACAGTGTGTCCAGTAGTTCTACTTAGATAGCATGCAAACACTTTTTTTATAACCATGGTGTCTGGGCTAACTTGCACGCACCTCGACTAATTTCACGGGATGCCTGCTACTTCTTACCAGCACAGGTTCCAGGTAACTGATGGAAGAAATAACCGAGTGTTCTTTTTGCGTCTATTGGAATTTGAACCTTGAGACCCCATGTTCTCAACCCAATTCATTGACCACTAGGTAGACACTTCTTTAAGCGTGTATTACAAGTCTCGAATACCTTGACCAAATTTCATACGTTTCATCCCATAAGAAGAAAGTTATACACTAAAAATCAAAACCTTCCTCCTTCCCTATGAGGGGGAAAGATCAAGCCATATACACAAAGACATGTGTGTGTGTGTGTCGCGTGTTTGTGGATGTGCATGCATGCAGTTTTAACATGCAATGACTCGTACTTTTATAACCAGGTTTGAAAAGAGATAAGGAAAGATAGTTATGAGGGTTCTGTAATATTTGTGTTGGCTGGAGGTACTTCTAAAATGATTGTTAAAAGGTGTAAGGAAGGTTCAGTTAACATCATATCAAGTTCCAAACTGTAATTAGGATGACTTGAGTAAGGAAAGAAGTGGCCAAGCTTTGACTAATCAGGAAAGATATTCATAGTGAGGGTGCAAGAGTGAGTCTAATAACGTATTTAAAACAGTATGTCCTACATATTTAATGTGTTACTAATTATAGGCTACAACCATGAACTAGCAGACAAAAGAAGAGAAGATTCAAGTCTTTGAGTTTACGTACGAGACCTAGAAGAGGTCTATGTGTGGATTTTGGATTCATCATCACATAAATCTTTGTTCGTGGATATAGATAGTAGAATGGGTACCTGTGTCGAGAAATAGCTAATAGACATATAATGCATAACAAACTCTTAAAAACACCCGAAAAGAAACATAGTGATTTCTACAGTCAATAAGAAAACCTAGATATTATAATATCAGGAGTTAAAAGTATTCCAACAAGCCCTAAGATTTCAACTTTCCAGTAAGTTTCTTTTTGTCCCACCTGAACTCCTCGTTTTTAAGGAGTTTTGACCAACAAGAAGTAGGAATGCTAATTTACTTAGGAACACAGTTCCATTTTTCCTGTAAATAGGCAAGCGACAAGATATATTATAATCCTTCAACTTCTTCTAAATATGGAATTTACCCTTTGGCTATCGAATTCTATTGTAAAACTTGTTTTTTTTATTTTTATTAGCAACCCTCTCTGCGTTATTTCTTGGTTTTCCCATGAAAAAGAACAACTAGTCTTTGACATGAATTGAAGTAGATTTCTTCCTCGGGCACTCCTGCTTAAATTTTCTTAAACATGAGGGGATGCGTGAGGTTTTATTTTCAACTGAACCACTTATCATCGAGCATTGAAAATTGTGATAGGTGTGCATTGTAACAAAGGAAATCTAATGACCTCGTTCCTTTATCTGTCTCAGGCTTACATAATACGTTACCACGTTGCTAGAGCTGTAGTCTTTGAAATGAAAGATCCATAAAATTCATAATGAGAACAAAGCCTCTATTTGCAGGAAAAAATTTGCTATTACACTTACCCCAGTATACATGTAAGATATCAGAAATAGGATATTTATATTCCAATTCCGTTCATAATGAGAACAAAGCCTCTACCTAGGTACCCTTTCTGTTCAGTAAATCAAGTTGTAAATTACTGGCAATTTTTCTTCAAGTTTCTTTAATGGAAAAATCTGTTTCAGGAAAAATCTCTTAAAGCCAAGAAGTAAAAATGCATTGATTCACCCACATGAAAAGAAAGAAATTATAAATTGCTAACGAAGCATAAGCTGCCATGGCTATCAATTTAATTCCTCATTTACCAAACTTAAAGAAACAAATAAACATACACCACCAAGCATTTGCTGTGTGGTGCTAGCATTGTATTATCTCAAAACAAAACAAAAAATGACGGATCATTTAGAGAAACCGTATGAAAGATAGTTACAATTAATTTTCGTCTATACAAGAAGCAACAATCTCTAAAACTGGAATATCTGTAGCACAAGAAGTACTAATCAGTATTCACTAATTGAATACTAAGATCCCACAAGAACTAGAAAACAAGAGTATGTACTTCAATTTTACAAGTCATAAGAATTTTAAACAACATTAACTCACCCTTTCTTGTATAAATAATCTCCATCTACTTGCAACAAGAAGTAGACATCTTTCCCATCATGCAAAGCCTAATTAAGAGCAAAATCAAGAACCCCCAATAAGCAACCAAATCTCCGTAATTATTAAATAGACAGAAAATTATAAATAAGAAGCGAATGATTACCTTAAGGGTCATCTTTCCCCCTTTATATTCATGGTCATGATCCGGGTCAAGCGCAGGAAGGAGAGAGAACTCAAACCCATCAATATTTTCCCAATCATCAGCGTGGCCGTCAAGGGTTACGAGTCCAGGCCTGAACTCGGCAACAACTCGGGATTCCTCGTCGGCTTCGCAATGCCAGTCGCCGGATTCTTGATGGGAGGCTACAAATTGGATCCAGCTGGTACACCCAAGAACAACAAGTGTTGAGAATAAGAAGAGTCTACAGAGTAGCGGGGGTTGCTCCATTTTGTTGGAAAGATAGAGTCTTTGGGAAGAGGGAAGCGATCGTTGTTAAGTGGGTTTTCGAAAAAATGAGGAGTTGACTCAACTGTAGATACGGCTGCCATGGATGATGTTCGTTAATATTACTACTGCTAATTTGGAGTAGTACAAACGAACAAATTGTAGATTAGTCGTACAACGCTCTTTCTCGGATGTTTCGTTCCTTTCCTACACGTGTGTTTGATATCACTTTTTATTTTCTTAAATTTCTTTTTCATTTTCCGGTTTATATTCACTTAGGCCTTACTTGTTTTTTTGTTTTTTTTTAAATTAAGAATTCTGAATTTGAATATATATTTAAATATCAAGATGTGTATTAAGATTAATACAATTGAATCTGAATACATATCTGAATATTAACATGTGTATTAAGATCTGAATAATAGATGATTAAGATTGTTTTTCTAACATTTGAATGCATAAAATTTATCTTTATTTGAAAACTAATAAATATAAAATTAAATAACATACTAATTAAATTAATATTCTATCAATAAAATATATATACTATTTTTAAAATATGATAATTAGTGGTGGTGATGGATAACGAAGGTGCTTGTGAATGTCGGCTCGAGGCGGTGTTTGGGCAGTGGTTTTGGTTGATAGTGGTGGTTCTGGATAGTAGCTAGTGGTGATTGGTAGCGATGGTGATTATGGTTGAGGATGGAGGTGGTGTGTAGCGCCCCGGGAAAAAAAGTTTCAAAATGTTATACGGCTATTAAGAGGTCTGACATGTGCTAATTATATTTATTTGTATGCGAGTGTTAATTAATAGTATGAAAGATATCCCATGAATAAAATAACAAGTGTACAAGGTGTACTTGAAGTGATATAGGGCCTAAAGAGAGCCCTTGGGACAAGTCAAGTTGGAAATTACATGATAGATTAAAGTTCTAAATGAGCACGCGCAAGATCTAACTTTAAACGAGCATATCTAGATATGTATAAGGAGTTATGTGGTGAATAACCTATCAAATGAAAGCTCTTCGCGTCTAGTTTCTAACTGTTAAAATCGTTCGTTATTTGGATATTCTTACAAGAAGTTATGATCAAATTACCAAAGGTTGGCAGTGAAGTACTATCAAAGCGTAGGGGTCCGCGTCCGGACTTGGAGGAGGAGTGAACTGGAGACGCGAAGCTAAGTCAAGAATTCCTAATCCCTCGAGTCAAAGTTAGACATAATTAACTTAATAACATCAAATATTGCTAAAGGAATCAATTTCAATACATAAATTTAGGTTTCCCAAACTTTTCCCCAAAAAGTCAAAAATTGACCCCGGGCCCGCTTGGTCAAAACTCGAGGTTCGGACCAAAACTCGGTCACCCATTCACCCCCGAGCCCGAATATGTATTTAGTTTCGAAATCTGACCTCAAATCGAGGTCTAAATTCCAATTATACTAAAAATCCCTAATTCTATACAAACCTCCAATTCTTCCAAAAATCCCTAATTCTACCATGAAAGAACAAGGTTTAGGACTAGGAATCTAATGTGTGATGACGTAAATTGAAGGAAATGAGTTAAAGAGTACAAACCTATGATTTGGTGTTGAATTTCCCCTTCAAAAATCGCCCTAGGTCGAGTTCTAATGAAAGAGATATGAAATTTTGAAGAATTCCCGTTTTTGGTCTGTTTTAAAATCACTGGACATGCCTTATTCGCGTTCGCGAAGCAGCGGCTCGATTAGCCTACGCATTCACGAGATAATCCTCGCGTTCGCGAAGGCTTATCCCCTCCAGCCTACGCGTTCGCGAGCCAAGCGCCGCGTTCGCGAAGGGTATCGGTCACTTCCCCTCCCCCAGGTCCAATTTCTTCGCGTTCACAATAGACAGGTCGCGTTCGCGAAGGGTAATGCCTCTGTTGCTCCGCGTTCGCGACTAGTCCTTCGCGTTCGTGAAGAAGAAAATCCCCCTGCCCCTATTTTACCTTTCGCGTTCGTGAGAGTACCTCCGCGAACGCGATGAAGGACACACCAGAACAGCTGCTGTAGCAAAAATTCCAGATTTTCTAAGTCTAAAACATCTCGTAGCCTATCCGAAACTCACCCGAGCCCTTGGGGCTCCAACCTGAACATGCACACAAGTCTTAAAACATCATACGAACTTGGTCATGCGATCAAATCGTCAAAATAACACCTACAATTACGAATTTAGCACCAAATCACATGAAATTCTTAAGAACGCTTTGAAATTCCTAGTTTCACAACCGGACGTCCGAATCACGTCAAATCAGTTCCGTTTCTCACCAAATTTCACAGATAAGGTATAAATATTATTTTGTACTTGTACCAGGATCCGAAACCAAAATACGGGTCCAATACCAACAAGATCAAACATTAACCAAATTCTTAAAACCATTAAATTTCCAGTCTTTCAATTTTCATCAAAAATTCATATCTCGATCTAGGGACCTCGGAATTTGATTCCGGGCATATGCCCAGGTCCCATATTTTGATGTGGACCCACCAAACTGTAAAACGCGACTCCGAGTCCGTTAACTCAAAACGTTGATCGAAGTCAACTAAATCAACTTTTAATGGAAAAAAAATTATTATTTTTATCAACTTTCAACATAAAAGCTTTCCGGAAATATGTACGAACCGCGCACGCAAATCGAGGAGGGATAAAAATGAGGTTTTGAAGGCCTCAGAATACGAAATCGAGTTCTAAAACATAAGATGACCTTTTGGGTCATCACATTCTCTACCTCTAAAACAACCGTTCGTCCTCGAACGTACATAGAAAAGTACCTAAGCTAGTGAAAAGGTGAGGATATCTACTCCGCATATCAGAGTCGGACTCCCAGGTAGCTGCCTCAACAGGCACTGCACTCGAATCGAAGGATAACTCCTCGATCTCAACTGACGAACCTGCCGGTCTAGATTAGCTACCGGCTCCTCCTCATAGGTCAAATCCTTGTCCAACTGGACAATGCTGAAATCTAACACGCGGGATGGATCGCCGTGATACTTCCGAAGCATGGACACTTGGAATACTGGATGTACCGCTGATAAGCCTGGGGGCAACGTAATTCTGTAGGCCACCTCTCCCACTCGCTCAAGGATCTCAAAAGGCCCGATATACCTAGGGATTAACTTGATCTTCTTTCCAAACCCCATTACACCCTTCATGGGAGATACCCTAAGCAACACTCTCTCTCTGTCCATGAATGCCACTTCACGAACCTTACGGTCGGCATAACTCTTCTGCCTGGACTGAGCTGTACGAAGTCTATCCTGAATGATCTTAACATTATCCAAGGCATCTTGTACCAAATTTGTACCCAATAATCGAGCCTCCCCTAGCTCAAACCATCCAACCGGCTATCGACACCGTCTACCATATAATGCCTCATAGGGAGCCATCTGGATGCTCGAGTGATAACTGTTGTTGTAGGCAAACTCCACTAATGATAAGAGCTGATCCCAAGAACCTCCAAAGTTAATAACACAGGCGCAAAGCATATCCTTCAAGATTTGAATAGTACGCTCGGAATGTCCGTCCATCTGAGGATGAAATGTTATGCTCAACTCGACCCGCGTACCCAACTCACGTTGTACTACCCTCCAGTGGTGCGAGGTAAACTGCGTACCTCGATCAGAAATGATAGACACGGACACACCGTGAAGACAAACGATCTCACGGATATAAATCTCTGCCAAGCGCTCTGAAGAATAGGAAACTGCCACAGGATTGAAATGCGCTGACTTGGTCAGTCTATCCACAATAACCCAAACTGCATCGAACTTCCTCTGAGTCCATGGAAGTCCAACAACGAAATCCATAGTGATACGCTCCCACTTCCACTCAGGAATCTCTATCTTCTGAAGCAAACCGCCAGGTCTCTGATGCTCGTACTTTACTTGTTGACAATTTAGACACCGGGCTACATATGTAATAATATCCTTCTTTCTCCTCCTCCACCAATAATGCTGCCGCAAGTCCTGATACATCTTGGTGGTGCCCGGATGAATAGAATACCGGGAACTGTGAGCCTCCTCTAGAATCAACTCACGAAGTCCATCCACATTAGGCACACAAATGCGACCCGGCATCCTCAAAACTCCATCATCTCCAACCGTAACCTGCTTGGCATCACCGTGTCGCACTGTGTCCCTAAGGAAAAGCAAATGAGGGTCATCATACTGCCGCTCCCTAATACGCTCAAACAAGGAAGACCGAGCGACTGTGCAAGCTAAAACACGACTGGGCTCAGAAACCTCCAACCTCACGAACTGATTGGCTAAGGCCTGAACATCTAATGCAAGTGGTCTCTCATCGACTGGAATGTACGCAAGGCTGCCCATACTAGCGGACTTTCTACTCAAAGCATCGGTCACCACATTTTCTGAGATGATACAAGATGGTGATATCATAGTCTTTCAATAGCTCCAACCACCTCCTCTGCCTCAAATTGAGCTCCTTCTGCATGAACAAATACTGCAAACTCTTATGATCTGTGAACACCTCACACGACACGCCATATAGATAGTACCTCCAAATCTTCAGCGCATGAACAATGGCTGCCAGCTCCAAGTCATGAACTGGATAATTCTTCTCGTGAACCTTTAGCTGCCGTGAAGCATATGCAATAACCTTGACACCCTACATCAATAATGTACCAAGTCCATTACGAGATGCGTTACAATATACTGTATAGGGCCCTGAACCTGTGGGCAACACCAGCACCGGCGCCGTAGTCAAAGTTGTCTTGAGCTTCTGAAAGCTCGCTTCATACACGTCTGAATGGGGCACCCTTCTGGGTCAACCTGGTCAATGAGGCTGCTATAGATGAAAACCCCTCCACAAACCGACGGTAATTACCCGCCAAACCCAAGAAACTACGGATCTCCGTGGCTGAAGTAGGTCCAGGCCAATTCTGAACGGCCTCAATATTCTTAGGATCTACCTGAATACCCTCTACTGATACAACGTGACCCAAGAAAGCAACTGAACTCAACCAAAACTCGTATTTTGAAAACTTAGCATATAACTAGCTGTCTCTCAAAGTCTGAAGAACGGTCCGAAGATGCTGCTCATGCTCCTCTCGACTGCGGGAGTAGATCAAGATATCATCAATAAAC